TCTGGAAACAGTTCCCCCAGGGCCTCGAAAAGAGGGAGCAAGACGAGACCGATGAAGCTCACTTGGGACGAGGGTTTGGTCACTTTGTCGCGATCCATGAACGGTGTAACCGGTAACCCTTCCAGCTTCTCTGCGTCGCTCTGCTTGAAGAATTCCTGGAGTAGCCTGTCCAACCACGGTTCCGCGACTTCCATAGGCCGAGCTTCGTTGCTGATGTCCGCCACTTTGATGAGAATCATCGACAACTGGAACCAACAATCACGAGGAGTTCGATTCGACGAGGATTTTTTAAAACGCCCTTCCCCTCCCTCCCCTTTAAGCGTGGCGACAACTTACAAGATTGATATGAGCCTTGCTCGAATAATCGAATTCCGGGATGATGTCGGTGAATTGGCCGAGAATCTCGTTGTGTCTGGCCATGTCCGTGGCAAGAATACATCTGATGATACCTTCGCGTACCACCCTATACGTCGGATTGTCCAACGACGCCAGTATGTTGCATTCCGGGGCTTCGAGGACGCGAAACGCGACGGAGCAATGATGATTCTCCAGTGGCGAAATATCGTTGTAACGGAGCGCCAACTCGGTACGGGCGTTTATCTGATAAATGTTGTTGTATCCTGGATGATCCAAGTCGTGGCAGATGCAGGAGACGATCAATATAAAAACCTCCAGATCACCGATTCGTGACGGTAGATCCACCGCCCAAGATATCGCGTACATCTGCAACGGAACATCTTTCCTTAATGTTATTCTCCTTTCCTATTTTCGATATATTTTGTTCTCTCGCTCCCTCGTGAATTTCCACGAAAATTTAATCAACATCGCGAAACGAGAAATTAATAATTTTAACATCGTATTTACATCGTCTTCAATACTCGTTAGATGTAAATAATTCGTGCATCGCGTTTTTGACAGGAATTTATATATATATATATATATACTTGCCATTTGCGCCACGCAGAAACAGTGCCTGAAGTTATGAAACGGCACTTCGTTATAATTGTTGTAAACTTCGTAGAGGAAATTCCTCAGGATTGGTAAAGGAATGTTAAACTTTTGAGGTAGGTCCAGCTCGACGAACATGGTTTGCAGCATAAGGAGAAGTTCTTCGTCCTCCCATTGCCGGGCATCGAAAGCCGGTGAACGTAGCCACTCCCGAACGCTCGACGATATCGATACGTCGCTACAAACACAATCACAGATATTAATTCCCTCGAAACTGCAAACTCGGACACCTCGATAATTTATTTCTTATCGTCCAACTGAATCGATCGTCGTTATTCTACGGCAAAGTTCGATAATTGGTGGTGTCAAATGTAACTAGTTGACGAGCAAAGGTTTCAAATGTTAGATAGTGAAATATCACGTATCAAATAATTTCACGCGTACGATACGATCGGTCAAACGAAACGATATCGCGTTATAAATTCCACAGATTCCTCCTCCCCCTCCTCTCCCTCTCCCTCCTTAAAGATATCAAGTTCGCTTCGAGATCGTAACACTATTTCCCTGGTTCGGATGAAATTAGTCAAATTAATATGTCATTTTGTCGTAGAGCGTCGGTCGACCGGGTATTTAGTACTTTGCGCAATAATGGGTTATCCGCTTATTGAACTAAATCAACATGGAGCCTGGACCTACACGACGGATTGGAATTACATTAGGGATGTATCGATTTGTCGACGCGCCGTATAACATACGATTACGATTAATACGTTACAATATGCAACATGGGTAACACGCGTTCAAAAATCGATGAAATATCGAGTGTTTATTAAAGGCAGCAAACGGTGTATCCTTCTTTCCTTTTTTTCTTTATGGAAAGAGAAAGAACCGTTGTGTAAATTACAGAAAGAACGGATGGAGACGATCGCGTAGATGGGCGGAAAAATTTCTCGATCTCGTGTGAAACAATTTCGTTTATTCTCGCGACATTAGTGTAATATCTATTTGTAAAAAACGTATCGTTCGTCTTAAAAGATTTACCTTGCCTCCTTGGAAATCAATTTCCATCAACCGAGACCACTCCATTCAGAAGATTTCACGAATTCAAATCGCATCTCTAAATACAATTAGCCCGTTTTACGTGGGAGTCGATGTGTCGAGATCGAGGCATGATCAAGGAGATTAAGCAGAAGCGTGTGTAGCGAAGACCGCTAATTGGCAATCCGCATTTAGCTCGCGCATCAAATCACGGTACGCGATAATGTTCGCTTTGTGACGCTCCCTATTATAACCCGCCAATACCAGGTTATTATAGAGATAACGGTAGCTTAATGGCATTTCGCGGTAACGTTACGGAGCTTGCTACCATCGCGGACCGTTCCAACCATTCGTTCCAATCGGACAAGTCGCGAAGAATTCAATCCTCGAATTTCCCGTGTTTCGTCTGATCGGAGGACGCTCCATTCCTTGCCCGCAATTTTCATCCAATTTTTTTTATCTTCCTCTTAAACGGAACCCAAGTATTTCTCCTTTCATTGAACGAAACTTCCTATCTTTTTTTTTTTGACAAAAATTGCGTATTCCGTTTCCATCAAGATTGAAATTTTCGTAGAGTTTACTTCGAAAGAAAATCGGTTAAGGTAAAATAGAGAGAGTCAGAGGTCGAATCATTCTACTATCTTCAATAGTTCGATTCGATGATTATTGATTGAAGAAAAATAAAAAAATTATTGATAATTTTAATAATTTGAACTTGAACCGAACTTTCGAACGATATTTTCGTACGATTTCCGCGAACGGCGATTTGCTACATTTGCATTACAGTCCATGCGTATTTGTTCGTTTAACGTTTCGTACACCCGACACGTTTGCTCCGGTTTATTTGCCCTGTTTCCGCGCGAAAATCGATTCTAGTTTGTTTTTTGCGAGCATTTTTTTTCCCCCTCCGCGGAAAAAGGAAACATTCGCGAAATAATAATCGAATATACGTTCGTATTACGCGTAATAAAATTTCTCCCGCGGAAAATATTGGTGACGATTATTTCGATGATCGAAAGAAGGAAACGAAATTAAACGAAGCGAGAGAGAGAGGAAAAAAAAAAAAAGATTGAATCGAAAGGGGAATAAATTCGAAGTGAGCGAGAGAAATCTCGGTTCTGTACGCGAAACATTCGTTAACGGGATGCGCGTGATTTATGAATGAAAATTAAAAGTAAATAAAACGCGTATAAAACACGTCCATGCATATTTATGGGTTTTTCGATGATGTTGCGAATATCGAATAAATTTGATCTTTTCGATCGCTATTATGGGATTGTGTAATCGTTATTTACGAACGGGTTATAATAGCGCGAATCCGATTGTATCCGACAATTTAAAGAAAAAAGAAAAAAAAAAAAATCACCTCTCCTCGAACGAAATTGATCGAGAAACGTTCAAACGAGCAAATATTTTCGTTCGAAAATCAGGAATAAAAACAGGATTCGGAGAATCTCGTTTTGTTCGAAGCGTGAAACGCGAATCCCCGGCGGGCGAAGCCTTTAAGATCCGTTTCCAAATTCAATTTGCTCCCGTAATTCGGCGTAATCTTGACGAAAATCTCACGGGCCGTGAACTTAATCGCTCATGAAACGATCTCGAACGTGTTGCTCGTGCTGCATCGCGAGATCTTCGCAATGTGAATACATAAAGAACGGGACAATGGAACGACGCATTTCAATGAAACGTGCCTTCGTGTCACGACACGAACGATCCGTGGCGAGCAATTTTAATTCGCTTCCATATAAAATATCAAATTATTCTTCGAGAAAAAAAGAAAAATTTTTTTTTAACTTTAAAAATTTTCCGACAAATCAACAATGAAAAAGTTACATAGCTTTAACACGTGCGATATTATTATATTTTTATTAAAAGTAGAGAGAAAAAGAGAGAGAGAGAAAAGTTGAATGAAACGATCGTTATAACGTGAAAATAATTACACAAAGTTAAGAATTTGATCAACCTTTTTCGTTATTGTTCGAATTTACAAACAGTTTTTCATAAATTTAACTCGTCGTTAAAGAGAAAATAAATAAAAACGAGAGAGAAAGAGAGAGAGAGAGAACAACGAAAGTGACATAAAATGTAATGAATAGAGATTATCACGCTTCTTTGAAATTATTTTTCCATACGATCTATTTGTTATACATGAACGCGTGAAAAAACTTTAAAAATGGATTCGTTGAATTTTCAATTTCAAAAAAAAAAATGTTTTCTCTACTAAAAAAGAGAGTGAGAAAGAGAGAGAGAGAGAGAGAGAGAAAGGAACTAGCACTATCGAATCTCCGACATCCGGAAAAATTCCAATTTAAACCATCAAAATTCCTCCAACTTCAAATGGAAATGAATCAGCAATGGAACGCGTTACAATCGCATCGAAATTCGATCTTTCGGCTGGATAATCTTCTTCTGAAAGCCTGAAGCTCACTATTCACACGGAAAGATACTAACATCGGTGTAAACACATGAACGAGTCGATCGAATGGTCGTGGAACAGAAGGCACATAGATCATCCGATAGATCGGCACGTCTAGATCGTCTAGATCGATGTCGGCCAGTCGACAGTGAATGAGAAATGCGATGAATATGTTTTCAAGGGATCTCGACTGCGTTTAATCGTCCAGATATTCTCTATTTTATTAAAGAATCTCTCAATTCTTCTGTTCCTCGTCGTTTAACCAAAAACCTGTCTTTTATTTTTAATTTAAAAATAGAAATTTCGAAATTAGAATTATTTTCAAAATTATTTTCGTATTTAATAAAAACGTTGCAAAAATTTCCATTTCGCTTCGCTTTTGGAAAAATTTATCGATCTGGACTAATGGATTCTTAAATTCATATAAATATTTGTTCGAAAACTATTCGTAATCGAGATCATCTTTCTGGAAAAAATATTTCCACGACGAAATTGTTAAGAAAATTCAAAGAAAATTAATTTCTCACGTTTCCATTCTACGTTTCGTTCACAATTAAATATGAATATTCCTTCTCTTTGTTATACGATGATGACCGGTTAGATGAAAAACATGCCTACTCTTATTAACATAATCACGTTTTTCAATTGTTTAAACGGTCGAATGACTCTTTGTGAGAATTTTTAATATTCCTAAAGAGAATAACATTTTTGAATTGTATTCCAACAAATACACAAATTTCTCTTTCGTTTGATTCTTCATTTATTTTTTTCCCTCGAATGAATGAAACAAGATTTTCTTTAAACATTTTTCATTCACCTTGCGAAATATAAATTATGCAATAATCCCTTGTGATGTTGAAAATTGAACTCATCTCGAATATTTTGCGCTCGCTTTTTCGTCTTGATCGATTTCTCTCTTCGTCACACTCGTAGCAATATTGATAAAAATTACAAACGATCTGGTGAAAATATTACGTAATCGCGCGATTCCATCTTCCCGCTTCTCTCCTCTTTCATCCACCTATGATTCAGGGAACGCAACGATTCAAAGGGACGAGAACTTCCTCTTCCACCTTCTTTTTTCGTTGTTTCTTTTTTTTCTTTTTTTTTTTCATTCGCCATCCGTTCAAAATTCCACCACCGTTCTTCTCCTCCTTTGCCTCCAAGAAAAAGCAATATCCTGCCGATCAACTCGATAAAGTCTCGCGGATAAGTGAATGAATAATCTCGCGACAACGTATCCCTTTTGCCCCTCGTGAACTTGTTAAATAAAATTCTCGATCGACGAAGGGGGTGATCGCTTGATTTATTATTAAACTTCGTGCTAAGAAGGTGGCTCGCGTGTACCAAGCGTTCAAATAGAAACGGCTGATTTATAATCTTCTCGAATATAGCTGTTCCTACTATTAACCACGTATACGAACCAAGTTATGAGGCGATTCTATTTTTCTTTCTTTCTTTCTTTCTTTCTTTCTTTATCGACCAAGTTTGATGTAGTGCCATAGGCGTGTGAGTTTTACGAGTGAGTTCACTTTAAAGGATTAAACGGGTTTTTCGTAATTGTACACAGAATCGGTAACGTCGCTCTCTCGCCACAATTTTTTTACCATTTGCCGTGTATAAACAATAGTGTAGCTTTATCGGAAAAAACTACAATACATTTTCGAAACGAAAATCATTTATAGCCAAATGGAAATGTGTCGCTCTCTCTGAACGATTTTTTCCCCCGATTCTGATAACGATCGTTTCGCCGAACGAAATTTTCGTCGGTCAAATGGTTTATA